CCAAATCATTTTGGGCTTTTGCTCATCACCAGCAGCAGGTGTTCAAAAAATATGGATTTAGGCCCCAGATCAGCAAAGCAGTTGAGCACATGAGGAGTCCTATTGATTTTAACGAAACTACTGACATGATTAAAAATAAGCATATGCTTAAGCACTTTGCTTCATTGCCCAAATACAGATAGGGGTGCTTAAACTTCAGGCAACTACATTTGAAAACTGGGCCTTCACATTCCGTGTGATTTTTCAAGGCAGATCAGTATGAGAGAGAAAGCTATGTGCATATTACACACAGAAGGAGGGACAAATAGAGATATATAACTACATTTTAATAAGACTATTTAAAAAAATATTTTGGAAGATGGCCAATATCTTAAATGTATTTTAACAGAACACATACTCTTCACTTGCACATCCTGGGAGTAGCAGCACTCTCTCTTCTACCTGTCTTTCCACTGCCTTAGTGAATCACCCACTATTATAGAATCATGGAATATCAGGGTTAGAAGGGACCTCAGGAGGTTATCTAGTCCAACCCCCTACTCAAAGCAGGACCAATCCCCAGACAGATTTTTGCCCCCGATCCCTATATGCCCTCCTCAAGGATTGAATTCAAAACCCTGGGTTTAGCAGGCCAATGCTCAAACCACTGAGCTATCCCTTCCCCCCTTTATGGCCATAGGCTCAACCACCAAGCCAGTTGCAGCCTCCCTCCATTCAGGAATTATCCATTTGTCAGCCAGCTCTACAAGGAGAGGAGTCTTGTAAAATGGCTCTCCAGCCTTCTCTCCCTGAGATCCATAACAGACCGAGAAGCCCTAAATTCAGCAGTATGTGCTTGGGAGATTATAACAGAGTATTTCCTGAATAGCAAGTTAGATCAATGGCCTGAAAGAAGTGGCAATTGATAACCTGAATAACAAGATTATCTCATCACATGAACAAGCTGTGAAATAAGGGAGAAGGCTCATATTCAAACGCACACAGCTTCTTTGAAATTGCCTGGGGAAAAAAATCTGTCATTGCATTTATTCCTCAAAGAACTTTATTTCTTCTATGGAAGAATATTAAAGTTGTAGTAACAAAAACAAAAAACCCCATGACCATACTAAAAATGAAACTCCCATGTTTCAGTGTAAGCTACACCTATGGGGGGTGGAGGGAAATTAGGTATGCAAAGATCATACCTGAAAAATACAAGTGTACTCAACTGGGCATCACCTTTGTGTAACATTCACTTCTTAAGACATGGTCCAAAGTCCATTGAAGTCTATGGAAACTCTCCAACAGACTTTGTACCATGCTGCTCTTTAGTGGCACTCCCATGAGTAAGATGAAGGCTGTTTATTAATGGATTTGTTCAAGTAGTTGGGGCTTATGGTTCTGAAAAGGATAGAATCTGCGATCGCCATTGATCGGAGGTGTCTCCAGCTATTTGGCTGTGGCTTGTTATGCGTGCATGTTCCTTGCGCACCCCAAAAAAGTAGTTAACCACTATTTGCATCATCCGTGTGATCCTTGCAGTTTTACCCGAATGGGTGATTTGTCAGTATCAAAGTGGTCAACCAGCCTGTACACCAGAGGTGGGCAAACTATGGCCTGCGGGCCACATCCGGCCCATGAAACCATCCTGCCCGGCCCCCAAGCTCCTGGCCCGGGAGGCTAGCCCCCAGCCCCTCCCCTGCTGTCCCTCTCCCCCGCACTATTTCCCCTCTCCCCCCGCAGCTTCAGCTCGCTCGCTCCGCTGCTCTGGGCGGTGGGGCTGTGA